CGCGTCGCGGCTTCGATACCGTGGTGCAGACGGTGAGTGGCATAACTGCGCGGCAGGGAGAGCTGTTTCCGGGCGCAGAGCCGGGCCCTCAGTTCTATCCGGTCTCGGCAATCGACTACCTGACCGGATATCTCATGGCGTTCGGCACGTTGTTGGCATTGGCGCGGCGAGCGCGCGAAGGCGGGAGCTGGCTGGTGAGAATCTCCCTCGCACAAACCGGCAGCTGGCTCGTTGGACGCGGTCAGGTGCCGGAAGCCGAACTGCAGGAAGTTCCGGAGGATTTTACGCCGGATGAGATAGCACGCTGGTCAACTTTCAGCGATCTGTCCATAGGGCGGGTTAGCCATCTCGCGCCCGTGCTGCAACTGTCGGAAACACAGCCGCACTGGTCTCGTCCGGCGGTTCCACTTGGCTACCACGAACCCGTTTGGCCAAATCGCACGTAAAAGCAACGGCGTTCTAATCGCTAGAGTTATCTACCTATCGTTGAGGATGATGACGATGAGAACGACGTTGTCGAAGATGACCCTATACGACCACCACAACGACCGCGGGCTACATAACAGTTACTGCCAAGGCTACCGATGATGGGGCTCAGATTCGGTGACTGTTACCGGCGAAGATGACGTGGAGTCCGACAATGACGACACGGATGACGGCGGCTACGACACCGACGTCAACACAGACCCACGGAACCAGAAGCACATCTTCGAGTTAGCCCAAGGCGCAATGTACGAGTCGGAAAGTGTCGTGGAAGAAGGGCCTGGCGCTAGACGTAGCCGTTCTGGCGATCCCATGCATTCGATTCAGGCGATCTGAGCTCCGGATCGCCGTATCCGCCTCCGCCTGAGGACAGCGCCACAATTCGGTCACCCGGCCTGACCACTACGCCCGTCTGCTTCGTTCGCAGCACCGTCTCCACCCCTCCTGAGACGACGGAGTATATGTGCGGCAGACCAGGCTTACCGCCCAGCACTCCGAATGGAGGCACCACGGCTCCATCCCCGGCCGTGTTGAGCAGCGCCTCGCCTTCTCCCTCATAGATGATCTCGCACACGGCGCCGAGTCCGCCCCTCCACTGGCCGTCTCCGGCAGATCCTGGTCTCAGCTCGTGGTTCACTACGAAGAGAGGGAAGCGCTCCTCGGTGACCTCGACGCTGTTGGCGCGGATTCCGCCCGCGACATTTACCTCCCCGACGCAACTCCAGCCGTCGTGACCGAGTGCAGCGCCGCCGCCGCCTCTCGCCATGAAGAAGTGCCACAGGAACGACTCGCCGGTTCTTGGATCGGTGCCGGTGATCGCGTATCGCAGCCGGCGGGAGAAGCCGGCGTTCACCGCCTCAGGCACAGCCTGCGCGAGCGCCTTGAAGATCGCCTCAACAATCTCCTCAGCGCAGTGATTAGTGCTCATGCACACGGGCGCAGGAGCGTTAGCGTTAACTATAAGCCCCTTGGGCGCGATAACCTTCAGCGGGCCCATTGACCCATCGTTCTTTGGTACGTCATAAGGGGCGAGGTACATTATGGCTGCATGCGCCAGTGATCTTGTATTGGCGTAGGCACTGTTGATAAAGCCTGTAACCTGCCGCGCAGATTCGCTCAGGTCTATCGTCAGCGTGTCCCCGGCCACTGTAACCTTTGCCCTGATAGGAATTAGCTTGGAGTCGAATCCGTCGTCGTCCACAAGCGACTCTCCGAAATACTCTCCATCGGGCCAGTCCGATATGAAGCTCCTGACCTGCGCTTCTGTCGCATCTAGAATGCCGTCCACGATGCGGGTCAGACGATCGGAGCCGTAATGCGCGGCGAGTTCGCGAATTCGTCGCTCCGCGGTCAACACGGAACCTATCTGCGCGTTCAGATCGCCAAGGAAGTTCTTCGGATATCTGACATTCGCAGACATCATGTGGAGCAGGTCGTCACGTGGGACGTCGCCATCGTAGATTCTCAGGGGCGGAATACGCAGACCCTCGTGGAAAATCTCGGTTGCTGACGGATTGTATCCGCCGTGGGTGCCTCCGCCAACATCCGTGTGGTGCGCCCGGTTCACCGTCATGAACGTAAGTGCCCCGTCCACGAATACCGGACGTATTACGGTGATGTCCGGCAGGTGCGATCCCTCCGAAGTAGGGGTCATTGAGAAGGAACACGTCGCCCGGAGCGATGCTGTCTCCGAAGAAGTCCAGCACGGCGCGTCCGGCAACCGGGAGCGCACTGACATGCACGGGTATCCCCTCACCCTGAGCAACGAGCCTACACTGGCCATCAAGAATCGCGGTCGAGAAGTCCCTGCTGGCGTTCAGTATCTGGGAAAGCGCCGTCCGGAGCATGACATCCATCATCTCAATGGCGATCGATTCCAACCGGTTTCCGACCACAGAAAGCGTGACTGGGTCCCCTTGCGCGTCGTCTGGCGCTTGCGTGGCAGCCTCGATATCGATATGCAGTATGCCGCGTTCGTCGGATCTGGCTGAGCATCCTTCGCCGATTACCACGGTGTTATAGTCCGTGTTAATCACGGTCGGCCCAATAGTGACATCGCCTAGGGCGTCGGTTGCCGCGGAGACAGCCGCACGATCATCCGGTACCTTGGGGTCACCTTCAGTCGCGCTGTATGCTGCTTCAGTATCTTCACAACCGCCTAAAGACAGGCGGCCCACCGCGCTCGCCCTAAGTGTGACGATCCTGATGTCCTGCTCCTGTTGGCGATAGGCGTACACTGCTCGAATCGTTCGTGCATGTTCTCAGCCCACCGCGTTCTCAGGTGATCATCCTGTGAGTTGAGATCAGGCACATCCACTGTCACTTCATATATCTGGTCTAGGTAGCGCATATCGGCGGACAGATGGACGCTGATTTCGGACTCTGCTGCACCCGCAATGCGGATACGTCTCCCGCCCCCTCTCGGTCAGAATCCCAAACGCAGAACGCAGCCCGTCTATGTCCACCGTGCTGAGACTTGATGGATGCGACAACGCGAGGTCGTGCTTCAGATCTGATGCCATCATGCCGAAGGCGGACAGCACAGGACCCGTCGGCGGTATCAGGACACGACCGATTCCTATTTCTCTCGCAACCCTAGTCGCGATTAAGCCAGCGGCTCCGCCAAATCCCATAAGGGAGAATTCGCGGGGGTCAAGTCCTCTACTGACCGACGCCAACCGGATCCCCTCAGCAATCGAACTTGAGACAACACGAAGGATTCCTTCCGCCGCCGCTTCGACATCCAAGCCTAGTGGCTCCGCGACCGCATTTTGTATCGCTTCGGCCGCAAGGTTGATGTCCAGTTCAACCGCCCCGCCCAGGAACTTTTCAGTGTCGAGCAGGCCGAGAACCAGTGCGGCGTCAGTGACTGTCGGCTGAGTTCCACCTCGACCGTAACAAGCTGGGCCTGGATCCGCACCTGCGCTTGTAGGACCGACACGCAGCACGCCACCCTCGTCCACCCGCGCGATACTGCCGCCCCCGGCTCCGAGCGTGTGTATATCGACGGTGGGAACGGCGATCTTCCAGCCTGCCTCAAACTTCTCGCTGGCAATGTGGGGACTGCCACCCTCGATAAGAGTTATGTCGGTGCTCGTGCCTCCCATGTCGAGCGCAATGACACGTTCCTCTCCGAGTTGGCGAGCGACGTGGGCTGCTCCTGCCGCGCCTCCTGCAGGCCCGGACAGTATCGACCTGACAGCCTGCTCGAACTGTCCTTGACGGGCGCAATGCCACCGTTGGACTGAATAACGAACAGCGGCGCAGAACCGCCTGCATCCGAGATCCGAGATTCAAGGCGTTCCAAATAGCTTGATAGCGAAGGCCCGACATATGCATCCAGGGAAGTGGTCGAAAGTCGATCGAACTCTTTAATCTGTGGCAAGATAACATGGGAAGCTGAGACATATGCGTCGGGGAGCATCTCCCGAACGATTCTCTCTGCCTCCATCTCGTGGTCGGGATTCAGAAACGAAAACAGGAAGCATATAGCCACAGAGTCCACGCCCTCAGATTTAAGGTACTCGACCTCTTTCCTCAGCCCATCCACATCCAATTCGCGCCTGACCTTCCCGCCAGCGTCCACGCGCTCAGCCACCCCGACACGCAGGTATCTTGGCGCCAGTGGCTCGACCTGATCCATCCTCAGGTTGTACCTGTCCTCCTTCAGACCTTCTCGGATTTCCAACAGTCTCGGAAGCCTTCCGTGGTGATCAGGCCAACCTTCGCTCCCTTCTTTTCAACGAGCGTGTTGGTGGCGACCGTGGTGCCGTGGATGATGACCTGCGCCTTTTCCAGCAAGCCGCGGGCGTCCATTCCCATGGCCGATGCCAGACCCAATATTCCTTTGAGCACACCATCTGAGGGATCTGCGGGCGTAGTTGGAGTCTTGAACGCCACTGGCTCCGACCCCCCTTCATCCATCGCCACTAAGTCAGTAAAGGTGCCGCCGACGTCAATGCCGATTCTCAATCCGCACGTCCTTTCCGATTCCACTTGAGGAATGCTCATAACCGAATCTGAGGCGAGACGCATGATACTACAACGGACCGCGATTGAGCAGAGGGGCTTAGATGGCTAAAGAGGTCTAACAACCGTGCGGGCGACATCGGCCTATAGAGAATTAAAAAACGCTCCCAGACGCAGATACATCACAGCCGCCGGCCCGGTACACGAACCTATGGAAGCAAGAATATTGATGTGACATCTGAACTTGATGAAGAGTCAGTTTCGCCTCAATCCCCTCTTCAATAATAGGCGAGATTGATTTCAGCCCCCTGTTGCGGACCTGAGAGGCACGGCTCACGGCGCTCTTCGACCAAAGAGACGTGCGCTCCACACAGACCGAGGCCCTGTTAGAAGCAACGGGCGTGGGACTCCTGTATCGCCCGGGACCTGCTGGAGGAGGCGGAACCGATCGGAGTTTTGGGGGACTTTCTACGGGGCTGAAGTTCTTGACCCACATCCGACAAAGCCGTAGTCAATTTCTACCGATGGCCCGGGGCGTGCCTGAAAACTCAATCGGCATGATCAGAGGCCAGTCTGCTAACCGGCCCCTGATCATGCTTCATGCACTCGGCAGCAGCATCACGCGCTGGTGAAAATATCGTTGGCAATGTCCATCGCTCCCGGGCGAACGGTATTCCGGCATATAGCGTCATGTGGCCGAACACCTCGATGATCTGGTCCGGCGTCAACCCTATGTTCAGCGCGCCACGAATGTGGCTCCGCAGCGGCCCTTCGCGACCCAGAGCCGCCAGGCACGTCATGGTGCAAATGCAACGACTGGCGAGATCAAGACCCGGTCGGGTCCAGGTCGCCCCCCAGTAGTATTCGCCGGTAATACGCCCCAGTTCCTTCTCAGCTTCCGTTGGCGGAGTCGGTCGCGCCGTGGAGGTGACTCCCATGTAGCTGCGCCGAAGCTCCTCACCCCGCTGGAACAGGCTGTCGGGATCTTCGCTGCTATCGTGGATGCGGGCCGGTGTGTAGTCTATTCCCCGCTCCTCAAAAACCTCCTTGCACAGCGTCAGCGCCTGGATGCCGGCCGGCGCTGCACTGTACCAGGTGTCGTGAATGATCAACTCGACGATCTGGTCCGGCGTCATCCTATGTTCAGTGCGTTGCCTAAGTGCCGCTTTAGCTGTATTTCTCGGTTCATGACTATGAGGCACGACAGGGTGATCATCTCCCGCTGCACCGGTGTCAGCGCCGGCCGCCTCCATATAGTGCCGAAGAGTGCCTCGCCAAGTATCCTCTCCAGGTCCGGCGCGATGTCCCATGCCCCCGGAGACGATCCGCCGCTGATTCGACCGCCGCCAAACATCCTCCGTGTTTCCTGTCCGCGTTCGTAACGTTCGTCCAGTTCGCCCATTGTGTGCCTCCAAAGTGTGTGTGCTAGAGTTTCAGACGCCGACAGTGTACGGCGGCATCCCTGCATGCGCAACGGTTCGGCTTAGCCCGAGTGGACGCCACGCCACCTATATGGCTAACGAATTTTTGGCTACGGCCTTCAAATCGGCAACTTGTGAAGTGGGTGAGAGGGGCACGCTAACACTCACCGCGACAGCAGTATAGAGCGATACAGACAGGTGCGTTCGATGTGCCGCAAGGGACTCTTCAGGGCACTTAGTGGGAGGCAGTTCAAATGCGATCGCACTTACGTGTAGCTGTGGCATCAGGTGGGCACTCGGCGATACAGATCAAAGGTGTTCGGCTGACATAAAGTGAAACCTGTTGACGGCCCGATATCCTGATTGCAGAGTCTATCTTGTCGCCGGTCTTGACAGGGACGCTGCAACCAAGCGCCAACTTGTAGCCAAAACCGCTGGAGCAGTATACTGACGCGGCGACATTCAATAAGGACAGAGCGATTCGTACGATGGAGTAGATGACTGTATACTGCGTGAAGTGCCGGGAGACACGGGAGATTCAGAACGCCGAGCAGGTCACGATGAAGAATGGCCGGCCGGCTACCTGCGGAACCTGCCCCGTCTGCAATACCAGCATGTACAGGATTGGCAGGGCTTCGTAGCAGTGGGACCGCGCGGCGGAAGAATTCGGTCAGAATGAAAAGATGACATATCCTGCGCCTCCGCTCGTCCACGTAATCTACACGACAGCCCTGATGGCATCGTTCCTGCTGACGGGGTGGAGAATTTCTGGATCGACCACGGCAAGGGTATCGGAGCCTTCTGCCATGCCATCAGGGAATCCCGCGACGGGCATCCGTTTCGAGGATGCTGGCATGGGTGCGTGTAGGCCAGCTGGGACAAGTTTCGCATGGGTGAAGTTCTTTCGCGGGAATGACTGGTGGCGTGGGTTGTCGCGCCGCGGTCGGAATGGCCTTTGCCCATAGCAGGATTGAGGGAGATCAGATATGAAGTTCGGCATTTACAGTTCCATCGCCGACCCGCCCCGGGGCGAGCGGCTGGACCAGCGGATAGACGAGGTCATCGCCGAGGCGCGGCTGGCAGAGGAGGTAGGTTTCGACTCCTGCTTTTTCGGCGAGCACCACCAGGACCGGGACGGGTTCCTGCCGTCACCGCTGATCGTGGCGACGGCGGTGGCCGCCCACACCAGCACCTTGAACGTGGGCACGTCGGTAATCCTGCTGCCCCTGCACAACCCGGTACACCTGGCGGAGGACGTGATCACCCTGGATCTGGTGTCCAAGGGGAGAATAATCCTTGGCGTGGGCCTGGGATACCAGGAGGCGGATTTTCGGGCCTTCGAAGTGCCGGTGCGCCAGCGGGTGGGCCGGTTCGAGGAAGGGGTGGAGATCATCCGACACTGCTGGAGCGGGGAATCTTTCTCCTTCCACGGCGAGTACCACCAACTGGAAACCTGCACATCCGGCCCAGTCCCTTCCAGCAGCCCGCTCCTCCCCTGTGGATCGGGGCAAGCAGTGCGCCAGGAGCGCGCCGGGCTGGGCGCATGGCCGACGGGTTCGTGGCCGGACCCAGCACCGACCTAGCCAACACCATCGAGCTGGTGGAGACTTACCGGGAGGCGGCTGTGCGGGCGGGACGGGAGCCGCTGGTGGTCCTGATGCGGGACTCCTGGGTGGCCGAGACCCGCGCTGAGGCCGCGGAGGTCTATGGCCCGGAGGTGATGGCGGCCTACAAGTATTATTGGCGCAACGGCCTGTCGGAGTTCCGCAGCATCGGGTCGGAGGACGAGATAACCCTGAACAACCTGGAGGCGGACCGGTTGATACTGGGGGAGCCGGATGAATGCGTGGCGGAGTTCCAGCGCTGGAGCGAGGCCGTGGGCGCGGAATACTTCCTGCTGCGGCTGCGTCACGCCCACTCGGGAGGCCCACCCCACGAGAAGATAATGGAGGCGATACGGCTGTTCGGGGAAGAGGTCATACCGGCGTGCAGCTAGCGGAATGCCATGTCAGAGCCAAGGAGGTCTGTGCGCCAGGGTTGTCGTATTGAGATGACAGGATGCCGGTTGCCCGTCATACCTGCTTTCGCCGGTATCCAGAATCCCTTGCGTACGCTGATTGTCCCCTGATAAGGTTTTTGGACTCCCTCTTTCGCGGAGGATGCGGAGCGAGGCGGAAACGGGTCGGAATGACGCATGGGGATACATCCGCGCGGGAAGGGCAAGTGGCCTGCGTCATCAAGATGCTATTGCTCTGATTTGTGACTGCCACAGAGTTTACCAGAGTATCCGTTACAGAAATGTAAAGGGGGCGGAATGGCAATATACCGGGTATTTTCGGACGCCACGGCGAGAGCCACATCGAGGACTTGAAGTTGGAGGAGCACCCGGAACTGGGGGAGCTGGTCAATGTGTCCGAGTGCGGGTGCAGGAGTTTGACGGGTCGCGCCACATGGACTTTCATCCCCTGCCCGAGCGCAGGTTGATCATCCACCTGTCCGGCGAGGTGGAGATCGGCGCCAGCGACGGCGCGAAACGGGTGCTGCGGGCCGGGGATATCCGGCTGATGGAGGACCTCACGGCAAAGGCCATTCGCACAATGACCTGACCCCGTCGGCCGCGGTCTACGTCCTGCTGAACGACTGATTGACCATTCTGCCCGGCATCACCCGGGCAGAATGGGAGGTGTCTGGCAATCCTGGCTCAGTAGCCCAAGCTGCCAAGATCCTTCGAGATTTCTTTGGCGGCGGCGGCGCTCCGAAGTCGAGGTCGCAATGTTGCCATTTTCGTGTCGCCGTTCAGGGGATATGTCCGCTCACGTGTTCAGCGATTCAGTCTTTTCGTGTAGTTTTTCGTGGTAGCAGGTCGGGATACCTCGACTTCACGATAGCTCCCACCATCTCGGGGCTGTCCGCTGCCAGATACTTCCTGACCGTGTTCCTGCTCATTCCCAAGTTTCTGGCTATTGCCCGAGTGGATACAACCTCAAGCTTGGCTCGATGGATTGTCTTCCGCCAATCTCTCTGTCGCGGGTTGGTATTCCTGTGCAACTCAGTGACTGGCTGCCGCACCTGTTGACGTCGTTTCGAGTCGTGCTTCTCGCGGCGCGCGGTGCATACTTGATCTTCCATCGGCTGTCGGCGTCATTCAGATGGCCGTTCTCGGCGTAAGATTGGCGGACCGCCGTTTAAGCTCCGCACGATGTCGGGACGTCGTGGAGCCTCCTGCGAAGGGATGGTGCGCCCTTCGTGCTGCAGCCACAGAGTTCAGTCCAGCTCCTAGAGCACTTTCTACCATTGCTCCGGCGTAATTCGCACGCTCCGCATTGGGCAGGAGCTGCAGGGTGTGCCAGCGGTACTTGAGCGTGTTGATCCTGCCGACCCTGCGCCAGTGGTTGTAGCAGAAGATTCGATCGAAGCAGACATCGGGGTCAAGGGGACCGTATGCCGCATCCTTCTGCTGTGTCGGTAACCTGAACCGCTCGTTGAAGCAGGGAAGGAAGTCCTCCAGCACACGGTTGGCCTCCGGGCACGTCGTCCCAGTCGATCGCTATGCAGATCCACCGTAGCGGACTGAATGTTAGTCCCTCAGGATAATATGGTTCTGTCGTAGCCTAAATAGCAGCGGACCAATCACTCTCCACTCCCACGTTCGTAGCACGGATTTGGAAGTCGTACTGCACAACCGAAGTCAGGCCACTGACTGTCGCGGTCGCGGCGCCGACTTCTACCGGATCTTGCCAGTTCGTCGAACTGCTTACCTTGTACCTATAATCGTAGCTGTGTGCGCTTGCGATATCGTTCCGTTCGAGTGATGCGCTTGTGGCTGCCACGCCGGTCATGACGTGGTTGACGCGTCTGTCGACAGTTTCTGCTTGTGATGTACCCTCTACGACCGATTGGCTCACAAACAGCAGGAAGCTCAATAGCGCTAGTGCTACGACTGTGGTGGGGCGACTCAGCGTTCGACATGAATGGGGCTGCCACAAGTATCTGAGAATGACTCTGTTGTGCATAGTCTGTTCTAAGCCCTTCCCCAATATTCAGGATAAGACGGAGGTATTCTTGGTCGACCCGAAATTCGTTCTCGGATGCTCTAGTCAGCTGGGCAGAGGCCGCTGGTCGGAAATCCTCACCACGTCTACCGTCGACGAGGACACTGTCACCATGCCGGTAGGGATGACCTTCTCGAAGAGCAAAAGTTCATTGGCTTCCTCTGGAGGACAGCCCTAGGGAGTTTGAGATGTCCAAGTCGCCGTGCAGAGTTCGGGCAAAATGTCCGTTGGCAAGGCAAGCAGGTGGCTTGATGCGAAGAACCAAGCTCAACTCGACAGAATGCGTGCCTTCTGACTCAGTTCAGGTCCGCCTTATGAGGATCTCCACGCGCGCTGGCGAATCGTATCAGCATCTAGGAGACGCTACGGTCGCCAACGCGGATCTCTTTGCTTCTTATGCTCCCATGTTATCTCTACGCCGCTTCTCCCTGTACAGGAGGTACGCAACAATAAGTGCGCCGATCAATAGGGGCATTCCTAGCGCGGCAATGACTATTCTGCCCAATGACCCTGAACCGCCTTCGGCTACCGAGGCCTGTATCACTGATGCAGGTGGCTCGCCTGATTCCGGAACTGCTGTCGGCGGTGGTGTGGGATCCATCGAGGTAGCAACCGTCGGCTTTCCGACAGGCGCAGGCACTGCAGTAGGAACTGCGTTCGGTG